TGATGAACTGTAGATCTTGTTTTGCTTATTTGAAGTTGAAATAGTGATTTTTGATTGATCTGGCTTCATTTTATGCATAAGATTTTCTTAGAGTTAGCACCCAAGGGTGTGGCCTAGTGGTCAATGAAGTGGGTGAGACCTATGAGGTCTCAGGTTCAAATCCCTGCAAAGACAAAATAATATGCTAGCATCAATCATTTCTCTAGGATCAGGTTCGTGACATGAATGTGCACTCTCTCTGTCTCTCTGTTTCTCTCTCTCTCTCTCCATTTCATGTCTGTGAACCTTCGAAATCCAATTAGTTTTGCCCACTCCTTTTGATTTTTACTTCTAGATACGTCATATAGATTGGTAGTTCAACTTACATTCATTACTACAGTTCACCTGTCTATGAGTCCTTTATTTCCCAAAAGCGTCCTTGATATCCTTTGAAGAAGCTCATAGCACATAGGTCTACATAGCTTATAGCTACCATTTGGATCCGCAATGGCACATCCTGGCTTACTTTCTCCACTGAATATTGATGTCTGCCAGTTTATAGTTACATAAAAAGTTCAAGGTGGCCATGCCACTAATTTCCTTGTATAACTGAAGTATTGAATGATGGACTTTGTTTTGCCGTTTGAACTTGCAGGGGATTGAAATGCTTTCACTTGGATCATTTAAGACTGGTGCCATACTATTGGTAAGGAGAGAGGTTTTACTTTAATATGTCCTCCCCCCACCCCCCCATCTCAAAATAAGTGTCACTTTAGCAAAAATCTCGTCCATTAAGAAATTAATAAATACAATGTGTTGTTTACTAAACTACCCTGATTCTATAAATGTTTCTTGAGAATTTGACACTTTAAAAAGATGGTGTATAAGGGTATAGTTGAACTAACATACAATTTTTTTTGTCTTGAATTCCTAAGGTGACACTTATTTTGGGACAGAGGTGTCATTCTGTTTATTCCTATTGGGCTCAAACTGCACGACTAAATAGTTGAAGTGGAACCTTTAATAAGCCATCTCCTAAGTGTGCATTACATAGACACATCCTTTTTCCCGTGTATAATACATAGTGGATCAAGAAATAAATAGAGTTTCCTTAGCTTTATGTGACCTTAGTTCTGGGACTTTCTCTATGCATCAAATTACCGTCTTTGTGCTGAATGAATCCTTGTTCTCAACTGCAGGCTGGACTTTTTGTATATGACATCTTCTGGGTATTTTTTACCCCAGTGATGGTTAGTGTTGCTAAGTCTTTTGACGCTCCTATCAAGGTGCGTATATTGATTTTCTTCATCTAGCTTTACTTCCAGTTTGTCAATGCTGACCTTTTTCGACCTTTTTTTCTGTGTGTAATTAGAATTTGCTTTTTGTTTCCTTTTGCAGCTTTTGTTCCCCACATCGGATTTGAAACGTCCCTTTTCAATGTTGGGTCTCGGAGATATTGTAATTCCTGGTATAACATCCTTCTTTTACCATAAAGACCCGTTGCTTTTAAGTGACCTGTCTACAAAAGCCAGTATATGAATTTGCGATGGACTTTATCCACCGCTGAACTTACCTCCCATTATTTAGTTTTTGTCATAAACTAGTAATTATCCTGTTGTTCAGGCATTTTTGTGGCTTTGGCACTCCGCTTTGATGTCTCCAGAGGGAAGGGGCCTCAATACTTTAAAAGTGCATTTTCGGGATATGCAGTTGGTGTGATTTCAACCATTATTGTGATGAACTGGTTTCAAGCTGCACAGGTTGGTGTCTTCAGAAAAGCTTGTTTCTTTTACTCCTGTAGCAGGACGACAGTGCCCTTGTTTTTCAACCTTCTCAATATTCTCTAACCTTGCACTTTGCTTACTCCTTTTGTTCCAGCCCGCGTTGTTGTATATTGTTCCAGCTGTAATTGGATTTTTGGCCGTGCACTGTATTTGGAATGGGGATGTGAAGCCGGTAAACTTTTCTTTTAATAATTTAATCTATAACTTCCTCGCTCCATTTGCGTCTGCCTTACTGTATATGGACCTTGAATGTTTGTTTACTCTTTTTACTCTAAATTGTTGTGTATTCACAAGGGATTATCAGTATTCAGTACTCAGTGTTTCGGTCAAAAAATATAATAGTACGTCATTTTAGGCCAAGCATGTCTTGTCGGTCAATTTCTCCTAGTGACATCGTCTAAGATTAGGTAAGTTGTAGGGATTTTCATAATTGTGCAGTTTCTCCTCTCATTTTTTACGTCTTTTGATAAAGGTAGTGTCCAGGGAAACTTGGGCACACCTCAATTCTGTTATGTACCTGCTATCTCCCACCGGCTCATGTACTGAATAAGTTTGCCAGGCAGTGCCTCCTCTAGGATTTGAACTCTGTTTCCCCATGGTTTTCATCCCATTTCATTGATTACTATGCAACGATGTGTCCTCCTCTCATATACATGCCTTTAAGCGAAGACTAATCTCTAATCTTGTTTTATTTCCTCCTCCTTATAAGAGCAACACTAGATGGGGATTTTCTAAACCTTTATAACATTACATTTTTCATTCAAGCTGAACTGTGTTCTTGGTTTTTTGGTTGAACAGTTGTTGGAGTTCGATGAATCGAAAACACAGAGCACTGAAGAAGTCGCCGCGGAAGAGAGCAAGAAAGTGGAGTGAGGCTTTAAGAAGAGTTACAGTAGGATATATGACCTTCCAACTGGAGATATTGTTGGTTAGGGAAAAAAACTTTTTTTGTTTTGTACTTAGATTATTGTTAGTGAAATATTGATGAGATTGGCTTCATATGTTATTTACCCAAAAATTAACATTTCAATTGTCAATCTTAATATTCCCCCTACTCCATGAGATTTGAAGTGGTTAATCTTTGCAATGATGAGGTAGTGATTACAAATTTATGACCTTTAATCACTATACCTTGTGGTGTTTTTAGTCATGGAAGATGTTGGTACGTAAGGTCTGTGTACATCTTGTTCTCTCCTAATTCCACGTGTTACTGAGTATGCTATTGTTATTGGTCCGGGATCTTCAGCCCTTTCCCGAATTGGTACCAACAACAACATTCCCAGTGAAATTCCACTAAATGAGGTCTAAGGAGGGTAGAGTGTGTGCAGACTTTACTACTATTCGAATTGGTCCATACAACAACATACCTAGTGAAATATTACTACATGAGGTCTAAAGTGGGTAGAGTATACGTAGACTTTACCACTATCCAAATTGGTCCATACAACAACATACTCGGTGAAATTCTAGTAAATGAGGTCTAAGGAGGGTATTGTACTGTACGCAAACTTTATCACTATCCGAATTGGTCCATGCAACAACAACATCATATCTAGTGAAATCTCACTAAATGAGGTCTAGAGAAGGTAGAGTGTACACAAACTTTACCACTATCCGAGTCGATCCATATTGTATATAATTTGAAAGTTTGGTCACTTCCCCTAATATCTTCAAAGGTGGATTGTTTATACAAGTGTTAAAAGTTTGGGATAACAATATTTATACAAAACTCCTTTTTTTTTTCTTTTACAATAATATTTAAAAACTTGATATACAATACTAAGCATCTAGTATACAAACATTATTAATTATTGAAAGTTAAAGAACAAAATTTATTAATTTTTGACAAAACAAATTCAGACGCTTAAGGCAATGTTCATATATAAATCAGACTCAAAATTTCAACCTAGCAAATAAATTATAGAAATAACGATTCTAAAAATGAATAAATATTATACTTCATCCCTTACAATGCCATTGTTTCCCAAATTTAGCAGGTACTACTTTATGTATCGAACTGCCTTGCGACAAACTTTAAATAAGATAAAAGGGTTACTAATGAACCTTGTGTCGTAGACTCGTAGGGATGTACATGTATATTTTTCTCATTTTTTTCAACTTGATTAGAAAAATGATTATCATACTTAATAATAATATTATAATTAGTCAATCAATAGTACCATAGATGGAAATTAGAATAAAGTACTAATTAATAATTAATATGGGCTATTTGTTAGGGTTTGTGAGTTCTATTTTCTTTAAGGGTGTGTTTGGCATGACTTTCTTCATATCAAATACACATTTTTGTATTACCTTGTATGATAAATATTAATTTGTATTGCTCCAATTAATTTCGTGACGATAATTCTCTTGAAGGCAAAGTAACAAAAAAGTTGTGAATTATGTTCTTTATACCAAATTAATGGCATAAAATTCCTTCATATCTACTAATGTACTATAACGAATTTATTCTTTTTATAGTGTTACATTTAAGCTATCATGTAAGGCCAAATTCATTTAAAAATTACAAAAAAAAAAGAAAAAGAAATGAAAATACATACAACAATTAGAACCACATAGTACGAATGAGTAACGTGTAGGAATATATGCATCATGTAACGTGATTGTGGTGTGGTGGGTGGGGCGGTTCGGATTTCAGGTTTGAGTTTTTAAGAATAGAACAAAATCTTGTTTGGAAGCGTCCTTTCTAAAAATAAAACTTACAATGCATGAATTCAAATTTAGTTGAATTTCAATACAAATATTAGAAGAGGTAGAGAGCTAGGTTGTGTCCAATATAAGAGTACCCTCGGCTCTTCGGCCAATTAACACCTCGTGAACAATAACAATAATAATAATATATTCAGTATAATTTCACAAATAGATTCTAAAAAAGAAGAAGATGATTTGTACCCAATTCTTATTCCCACTTTATGAAGATATATAAATAGTGGCAGAGCTAAAAAATTGGTGAAGAGTGTATAAATTAAATATACACCCATAATAATTAAAATTTAACCTTTGTACACCATATAATTTTCCGGCGAAGGATGTACACGTACTGGACCACCTTTCGCCTAAAGTGGCTCCGTCCTTATATATAGAGAGGCTAGCACCAGTTATTTTCGATAGAGCCTCAACTCAAATTGTCTTTGGCCAAATACCTATGCACAAAAAATGTTATAAATTTAAGACAACTTATTAGTTGTCTATATATATCTCTCCCTTTGTTAGTTTAATAATAATAAAAAAGATGTCTTCATTATTAGGCATCTTCTTGTTCTTGTACTTGTTTTTATTGTTGTCATCAATTTCAGCCAAAAATAGGGAGTATAAATGGAAAGTTGAGTACATGCATTGGTGTCCAGATGGTGTGGATGGTGTTGTGATATCTATCAATGGACAATTTCCTGGTCCAACAATTAGAGCAATTGTTGGTGACACCATTTTTGTTCACCTTACCAATAATCTTCCTACTGAAGGACTAGTCATTCATTGGCATGGAATCTCACAGGTAGGATAAGGTCTGCGTACACACGTTTTATTGAATTTGTTGTTGTTGGTAGTGTAAGTGGTGAAGTCAGAGATTTCAGTAAGAGTGTTTCAATTTTATGTATATAGTATATATAAAGTAATAATTTTGACATGTATACTTAATTTTTTGATTAAGGGTGTGTTTAGTATGAAAGAAAATGTTTTTCAATATTTCTTAAAAAATAAGTAATTTTTTTTTTAGTGTTCGAGGTAAGCAAGAAAACACTATATCAAGAATGATTTTGTGTAATCTAACAATATACTATAGGGTGAGAGGGTGTTAGATGGGGGCGGGGAGTGGGGGTTAGGGGTGGCAGCGAGTGGGATGATCAAGGAATGGAGGGTTAGGGACATTGATCAGTGGGTGAAGAGGAGACACTGAATTTGAAACGTCATTTATAAAACTTATTTTTTTATGTTCATGAGAAAAATCATTTAGCTCGTTTCTAAGTAACTTGTTTTCCTATTAGCTTATACATTAATAGTGTTAAGAAGATTCTCACACTACTAGTGTAACTTAACTAGCTGTGATAAGCCAAGTCAGTTAGTACTAATTTTTTTGTTAATGTGGACTTGTTCAACATTAATATTTGGTTCATAAGTAAGTGTTTTTCTTGGGAGAGTTAAAGGAGAATGGAATGAATAATGAGATAATATATATAGCTAATTATAATTATTACTATAATTAGAAACAAAAAAAAAATTCGCAATGAGAAATTTGTGTTATAAAACATAATTTTCTCATTTTATTCCTATTGAACTAGTTCACTAAGAAAATTCATGATGAAAAACAAAATTCTCATTGAAATACTAGAAAACTTTCTAATTTTTCTGATTATTTTATTTTTTTCTCATCAATTAAATAAAAATATATGTGGAAATAACCGCTTCATAATTTTTTAGGGAAAAACTTCAGTGGAAAATAGTGATTTCTTGGTAGTGTATAATGAGTTATTTACTTTTTCTTTAATAATGAGAATTGAAAGTGCATGAGATCTTCTTTTCTTTTCTTTTCCTTCTTTTACTCCCTTTTCAATTTTCCTAAAAAAATAACTTGCATTATTTATATTAATTAGAAACAAAGGCCTTTTTTTCCGTGAATTAGTGAGAAATTTTTGTTATAAAATAGGATTATTTTACCAAATCAACTCACTGAAAATTAATAAGGCAGGAAACAATTTTTTGTTGAAATACTAAAAAGCTTCTTAATTTTTCTGTATGAAAATACCCGTACTATTTTTTCTTTTCTCACTAATTCAATTATAATATATGTGGTAATAACCACCAATCATTTTCCAGTGAAAGATTTCAATTAAAAAATAGTGTTTTTTTTAGTAGCATTGACATTTGTTTCTTACCATTTTTGTTTTTGTAATTATAGATTGGAACACCATGGGCTGATGGAGCTGCATTGATCTCCCAATGTCCCATTAATCCTGGAGAAACATTCCTATACAAGTTTAAAGTTGACAAGGTAATTTCACTCTTTAGAAAAAATGAATTTATTATTCCAAAATATTTGACATTTTAATTTTAGAATAAGAAGCATTTATTGTGATACTTTTAGTGAAATGTTAATTAAGTGAAGCATGAGTATTGAAACAACGATAAAGTTGTCTCCATTTAATCTAGTTCGATTTGTGGAAGTAACCATTAATTAATACTTGCTTATATTAGGTAGACTGTCTACATCACACCCTTTAAAGTGGACCTTTCTCTGACCCTGCATGAAACCTTATAGCAATGATAAAATAAATTCCCTATAACTTATAAGTCAAAGTTTAAACAGTGAAAGCAATCACTAATATTTACATTAGAATAAAATATTTACATCATGTACTTTGAAATGAGCCCTTTCCTAAACATGCGTGAACACGTTATGCTTTGTGCATCAGTCTTTCCTCTATCTACTTTTGCAATATGAACACAATATCTATCCAACTAAAAATTACATTTTTTAAAAATAAATATGCATTGTTAGTTTATTTTTTTTTAATACAATAGGCAGGGACATATTTCTACCATGGACACTATGGGATGCATGCAAAGATCAGGAAGACTATATTGGAGCAACGATAAAGTTATCTCTATTTGATCTAGTTCGAGTCGTGAAAACAATCATTAATAATTGATTGCATAATTAGGTAGACTGTCTATATCACACCCCTTGAGGTAAACCTTTCTTAGCACCCTTCATGAAACCTTATAGCAACGATTAAGTAGTCTCCATGTAACTGTCAAAGTTGAGCCATGAAAGCAACCACTAATATTTACATTAGAATAAGTTATTTACATCGTGTGCTTTGAAATGAGCCCTTTCATAAACCTGCGTGAACACATTATGCTTTGTACATCAGCTTTTCCTTTATCTACTTTTGCAATATGAACACAATATCTATCAAACTAAAATTACATTTTTTTATAATATAAATGTGTTGGTTAATCAATTAAGTACAATAGGCAGGGACATATTTCTACCATGGACACTATGGGATGCAAAGATCAGCAGGACTATATGGTTCACTCATAGTGGAAGATGAAAAAGAGGCATTCCATTATGATGAAGAATTCAATTTGTTACTTAGTGATTGGTGGCATAAAAGTTCTCATGACCAACAAATTGATCTTTCTTCTAAGCCTTTTCGTTGGATTGGTGAACCACAGGTAGGTACCTCCAACAATATCTAGCTCCCCTTTTTCCACTATTCCATTTTGTTGTTTTTTCGTACGTGTCTGATATTCGTATTGGAGTCTGACTAATCAGAATTCACGTAATGAAGGATAGGTTTTCTGTTATACTCAAAGTTCAAATCTGAAACCCGTGATTCAAGATGAAGGGATCTCAATCATCTCACCACAACTTATATTGTTAATTATTGACACAATTAATAAAAGTTTAAAACAATCCTTTTTTTCTTATAGTTTGGTTTTGAAATTTCAATTATAATCATGAATTATAGTAGAACTTTTTATTTAATTTTTATATATGAAAACCACACACTTTTGGAAAAAAAGAGAAGAAGATCAATGATTTGCCCTTGTACTTTGCGAATAAAGTCATGTGTGGGACTCTCCGGTGCTAATCAACACATTTTGACACCTATTGATATGAAAAATAGGATGGCTAGTCGATAAGGGAATATATGTGCCAAAAGTTAAATCATATGAATTCGATTAAGTTAAATTATATATTGACGAATGATAAATTTAGACTTTTTTACAAATAAATAATAATCTGAACCTTTTCCCTTTCGCTACCATTGATCTTAGCTTCCAATTAAATAAAAGAGAGCTTTAATTTTTTCATTGCAATAGATAAAAAAAAAAATCTTTTGAGAAACAAATAGTAATATATTGAGGGAAAATCTTAGTTGCTTAGTCGAGTTTGATTTCCACTAATTCCCTCCCCTAAATCTAAAAGAAAAAAAAAAGAGATAATAATTAGTCTTTCTCTTGAATCTGCTAACTAATTAAATATATGATCAAAAGAGCACTTTTTTTAAAACAAAAAAATACAATTTTCTGAAAATAAAATATAAGTAGTAATTAACAATATCCATTATTTAAAAGAATTATTGCAACCACTTTTCTTATTTTTTTTTATTTTTTTTGTTATTGTTAAATTAAATCAGACTTTATTGATGAATGGAAGAGGTCAATTCAATTGTTCTCTTGCGACGCAATTTAGCAAATTTCCCATTCATCAGTGCAAGTTAAGAGGGGATGAACAGTACGCACCCCAAATTTTCAATGTTCATCCAAACAAGACTTATAGGCTTAGAGTGGCTAGCACAACTGCATTGGCATCACTCAACTTGGCCATTGAGGTAAGCCACAAAATTAATATAACTTTATTTATCTTTTGTCATATCAAAATAATTATTCTTTTTTCACTTTTTATAAAGTTATTTTTCTAATTTGCAATCTTAACAGTAATGTCATGAGTCAATTCTTTGGCTTTTATTTTCATGAAAATGATGTCAGAATCAATTTACATGCATTTTAAACTACAATTCATAGTTTTTTTTTTTCAAGTGTAATGACTTTTGTGTAACGTTAACATATCTACTTTTTTTCCATTTAGAGTTTTAGGTTTGGGATCGTTTAATAGTATGGGGAATAGAGTTATTGAAAGTTGAGACTTGAGACGAGGGTTTAGAGTTGGTGGTTACTCCTCTATATCCAAGGTACAAAATTGAATTTATTTTACGATTGAAATGTTGAGTCACTCGTTGATATAGTAAGTCAACTTACGTGCATTTCAATCGATTTTTTCCCATTGTAAGGCGAGCTTTTGAAGCGGAGGTTGAGTTTATTGAGAATTGAGACCATATTGTTAGGGTTTGGAGTTGATAGTTACTTCTCTATTTTAAAGGTATAAAATTGAATCTGTTTTATGAAATGCTGATTCATTTGTCGAATAAGTGAGTCAACTTAGGTGCACATCAATCATTTTTTTTTCCAATTAGGAGCATTTGAGAGGTCAGGAATTAAAAATAAAATACAAAAACAACTAACTAAGTCAACACCTATTTATTGTGGATACTGGCCTAGATGTTTGAATCTATTCCATCGCAAACAATTAAATATACTACTGCAAAAAATTTCATTGATTTTGTTGTTATTGCTCTTATATGTCACTACACCACTTAAACAACTAAGATTTTCTAATATTTTCTATCTATCTTTAAAAGTAGGACGAGTGAGTCAGCTCCTCTCCGGTGAAGGTTTATGTGATCAGATAATAAAAAAAGTTGACTCATTTTTGCTTGAAATTAAATAAAATTACAAGTGAACATCAACATTTAAAATTTGTACCACTTCTTAGATTTGGTACTTACGCAAGAATCACAACTCTTCTTTATATCCTCTCAAACTTTTTAAAAAGAGAATTTGATAGATTAACATAATTGGTGCAAAGTTGAAAACTACATAGCTTTAGAAAAGTTGAGTAGTTTGGAAATAGGGACCTTTGTGCCCACCAAATAAAAGTTAGAAAAAGCAAAAAAGAACATTCATGATCAAACGAGTCCTAAAATAACAAAAATTTAAAATTACATCGGAATTCTTATTTTATCATGATTCTTTTAAATGCTTAGAAAGTACTTTAAACTATAAAATTACAATTTATATAAATTTAGAGGAGATATGTAATACTTGCATTAAGCCAATGTGTATACTTGATATTTTACATTTTTCCTATAAGTGATCTGGTATACATTTTAGAGTCCGAAATATTCCACTTTAAGAGAAGGGGAGGGGAGGAGGGAGGTAAGAGGATGTAATAATTGTATGATAATAGATTACACTGTTGATGTATATAAGTTAAATTTTATTGCTTAATACTTATGCTACTTATGTTGATATTTTATGTCTATATAGGGTCACAAAATGATGGTGGTTGAAGCAGATGGAAACTATATTCAACCATTTTTTGTGGAAAATATGGATATTTATTCAGGTGAAAGCTATTCAATTCTCTTCAAAACTGATCAAGATCCATCAAACAACTATTGGATTTCAATTAGTGTAAGAGGAAGAGAACCAAAAACACCACAAGGCCTTACCATATTGAACTACATTCCTAATTTTGCTTCAAAAATCCCAAATTCACCACCACCTTTGGCACCTCTTTGGAATGATTATAACTATAGCAAAGCCTTCTCTAACAAAATTTTTGGCTTGATGGGGTTGTCTCCTAAGCCTCCTACTCGACAAAATCGTCGTATTTTGCTTCTCAATACGCAAAACAGGTACTCTTTGACGATGTTTGACTGAACATGAAATTTGAAAAATATAATAAAAGTATTAAAACATTATCTATGGAATCAAGTGGGATCTACATGCTCAAACTATAAAGCTTTTGTTATTGAGTAATTTAACTTGTATATAACGATATTTACATTTAACTATTCTTTAAAAAAGTTATAACGAAAAAGATATACCTAGTGCATGCTATAATATGTTAAAATACATTGCTAGGATACTTTTTTTTTCTGATTATTATTATTCGTATATATAAGTTAAATTCCAAAAATAACTACAGTAATCATCCATAAAAAAGTGGGATTATAGTAACCTAGCTAGAAAATAAGGTAGGCTAACAACTACTTATAACATATTAAATTACATTGATAGTATAAAAATTTCTAATAATTAATGCCAATAGATATGTGTTAAATCTTGTATCACTTATTTGAGTTGAAGTATATATAGACATACAATATAAAAACAATAATTTCCAAATAATCACATTTTTTTACTTATTAGGACTTATATATAAGTCATAACAAGTGGATTTGTAAGAACATTATTAATTAATGGGTAACAATGATGAAATAGGTTAAACTACATAGCTAGTATAAAACAAAATTACGTTATCAATGTATATAACTTAAAAATTATATTTGCTATTTATATATATCCCTTACTTGGAATTGTTTTTTTTTCTTGGATAAAACACATGAAAATATTTTTGTTGATAAGTGATCATAGTATATAAGACTTGGATATGAAAATGATCTTAAATGTTAAATTATTAGATATGTAATATTACTTATTACTCATTTATTTAATCTACTTATGTTTTGTAACAACAGGATTGAAGGTTACACAAGATGGTCAATCAACAACATTTCCTTAGTCTTTCCAACTACACCCTATTTAAGCTCAATCAAACATGGCATAAACAACGCATTTGACACTAAATCTCCACCAAACACCTTCTCAAAAAACTACAACATCATGAAACCACCACCAAACCCTAATTCAACATATGGAAATAGGGTTTACATGTTGAAATTCAACACTACTATTGACATAATCCTTCAAAATGCAAATGCCTTAGGTGAAAATGTAAGTGAAATTCACCCTTGGCATTTACATGGACATAATTTTTGGGTATTAGGATATGGAGATGGAAAGTTTGATCATAAAAAAGATGTTGAGAAATTCAATTTGAAGAATCCACCATTGAGGAATACTGTTGTGATATTTCCATATGGATGGACAGCTATAAGATTTGTGGCAAATAATCCTGGGGTATGGGCTTTTCATTGTCATATTGAACCTCATTTGCATTTGGGCATGGGAGTTGTCTTTGCTGAAGGTGTTCATCTTGTTAAGAATGTGCCTAATGAAGCACTTAATTGTGGTTTGACTAGGAAAATGTTTGTGAAAGACAAGCATTAATAGTTGTAGTTAATGTAAATGTTGTCTTCATGATACTGATTTTACTTGTGGTTTGTAATATTATGATTACCTTATCAATAACAAAATTCGTGATACTGACTTTTCTTGTAGTTTGTAATATTGCTGTTATTTTTCTAGAAATTCAGATTAGATTAAGTCTATTAATGGTTGTAGTTAATGTTGTCTTTGTGACGCTGACTTTCCTTGTAGTTTGTAATATTATGGTTACCTTCCTGTTGGCAAAAAAATATTTTTACTATCCACAAGAAATTCAGATTATAGATTAAGTTCCATTAATAGTTATAGTTATTGTTGTCTCCGTGATGCTGACTTTCCGTGTAGTTTGTAATATTACGGTTACCTACTTGTTGATAAAGAAATTATTTTACTGTCCACAATTTTTTTTAGATTAAATTAAGTTTCATTAATAGTTGTGGTTAATGTTGTCTTCGTGATGTTGACTTTCCTTGTGGTTTGTAATATTACAGTTACTTTCTTATGGCCATTGAAATTTTATTGTCCACGAGAAATTCAAATTATATTAAGTTCAAGATATATGTTTAGCCTAGACAAATAATGTTAATGGTCTAATTATGTTCCATTGATTTGGACTAGAAATAATGAGACAATTTTGTTAAGCCCAAGATGCCATTTTCTTTGGGAGATTTAATTTGATGTCACATGTCAAATGACGTGGTATGTCAAGTCAAATAAAAAAGTCAAACATAATTATTCATCTGTCAAAATGACATAACATATATGTCTAATCAAATAAAAATATATCATATGTATAAATGACATGTTTCCGCCAATTAAATATCGTTATATCAACTTCAACTTGATTGGTCGAAAAAATTTATGTTTTTGTTGAAGAGAGTCTCACTTTTGGTTTGACTGGGAAAAAGTTGTGTGTGTTTTCAAGAACAAATGGTTGTAGTGTAAATGTTTTTTTTTTCTTTTCAAATTAGATAATAAGAGTGTTTTAAATTTATTTACTTGTTTTTTAAAAAGGTGATTTTATTACATTATTTCGATGCTTGTCTTCATAACTTTTTTTTTTCCTGATTTGTAGTATTACTCACAATTATCTTCCTTATTTCAATTTTCTTATAATAAAACTCTGAAATATTTCTAAATAAAACAACATAACCCTTTTGTATTTTTACTAATGATATTACAACTTTCTTAGTTTCAAAACCATTTCAAGTTGTCTTAATATTACATTATTGGTGTATAACTAATTGAATGTTTATGATATTTTCAAGACGACAAAAGTTTATAAAGAATATCTTTAATCAATTTCGATTGATTTTTTTTAAAAAAAAATTAAGTGTGTAGGGGGGTGGAGGCATTGTTCTTGATTTTAGAGAGGATATCTCAGCATCGACTTTTTATGTTGATCAACTTACTATTCATGTATCAAATGTAACTCATCATTTACTTACTAGTACTAGTTATTAATATGCATCTTCATTAAATTTCGATTATATATTCCATTATTGATATACTTAGTAAAAGAAATCGAAATCGAAAATATCTCAAAAAAATATGTAACAAATATTTTGAAAAGGCAATTAATTGAAAAAAGAAAAATCACCGAGAATTCATTATTCCATCATTAATAAATATAGCTTCACTGAAATTATATTTCATACTATTAAAAAACTTAATTATACATAGTTGAGATATATTACAAAATGTAAATTATAGATCCCCAAGATAATTTTTAAGAAAAGCTACCTTAATTGGCAAGCATGATTAGTCTATGAAGAATCTCAGGTATTTATAAAAACCCTATTGAATTTGTATATATTTTTGTATTTGTATACGTATTAATAATTTTGTTATTATATTGTACATATCTATACATAATTGTGTATATACAAAATTCTATTTCTAGTGTTTGGTTCTATATTTTTATTTATTTTTGGTTGTATATTTTTTTTCGATATATTATCATCTACAATACTTAGTACAAATCAATTGCATAATTTCAACACTTATATATAATTACTTATTTATCTATATTAATAGTTTGTATACAATATTAATTGTATGTAATATGTTATTTGTATAAACCCAAACTTATAAATATATATATAAACAGTAAAATATACAAATGAAAGTCATCATGACAAATGAAACTATAACAATGGAGCATAACTAGATAAATTATAGCTAAGAAGGATTATTAAATTTCATCTATTAGCTATTTATGAAACTTTCTCTAATTTTTACAATACAAGGCCAAGGATATTTCGAATAATTTCCCAAATTTTTGAACTATGTCTAATATATTCTCTAATAAAAATTTAAATATTCTTAATAATATTTTAGTCACGTGTCTAAATATATACAATTCACAAGTTAAAAATAATATTATCACCATTGCAGATTTGACATACACCTTAAGAAATAATAAATAATAAGAGTACTTATTACTATATTACCCTTTAAATATATTAAAATTAATGATTTGAAGAATGTATTAGATATTGAATAATATTTAATAACAAGAGTAAAATAGACATAAAAACGTAAATTATCTCATGATTTTCAAAGCTCGACATGTATTATTGGACAAATATATTAGATAAATTGATTTTCAAAGCGAGACAAGTAGATCCGTCAAAATGGGCTCAGCCTACGGGGCCAGTCTAGCCCAACCCGTTATTAGGGTAGAGTTAAAATAAGATTTTTCAAGCTCATTTAAAACTAGGGCTTATAAGTCCGTCCCATATAAGCCCTTGACCCTTGAGGTTTGATCGAGGCCGGACTGAGGTTGGCCCATGAGTCAAAACTATTTATTTAATGGTAGCTTACAAAAATCTCTCTAGTGTATGAGCTAATTACTTAAAGACACACTATGTTGTAAGATTACGAATCTTATCAGATTTTGGTATGTCCAAAAACATGTATTTCGGGATACATAGACTCAAAATTAGGTTAATTTGTTCTAGATACACTACATCCTTGTGAATTCCTACGTATCTAGGATACATAGACAAAGCCCGCGCCTTCACCTTCCTTCCATCTCACTCGCCACTCTCTTATCTTACTCGCGTATCTGGGATGCATCACACTAGATACATATATCTAGTATTCTAGATACATGCTAATTACAATAGATTTTTTGCTAATGTTATTGAAACAACACTATTATTTGTCATATTTAATTTGAAAATCTTCTCATCTTCTTAATGTTATATAATTTTAAGTTTGAAAAGAACAAAAATAAAAAAAGAAAAGAAGGGCTAGACGCCCCAACTTGCGGTCCTTCTAGGGTTAACATTTTCAAGCCCTTCCAAATGAAGGGCCAGCACGCCCTAGCCTATCAAATTCCCTAATCTGTGACGCTTTGACTAGGTGGGGCTGGGCTAACCCTTTTTGACAACTCTAGAAACAAGTATTATTGGACAACTATTTTTAATATAATAAATAAATGAAAAAATGACTATTTTAGTTAATTAATTAATTATCTGAACTTTCCACTCGGTGATAAACTATTTAATTTCCTTCCTAGTTATAAAAAAGCTAAAATTTCAGCTGGCCAAAAAAAAAAACCCTTCAGTACTAAACTTTTTCGATACTAAAAAAACGGACGCTTAAATTCTATATTTTTCTTTGTTCTTCAATCGTCTCTTTCATCTGAAATCAGCTATGGGTTCTGGTAAGTCTATACGATTTCTCATCAAATTCGATAATTTTTTGGTTAATTTTTGGTTTCGTTTTGTGTATTTGGTTCGATTTTTGTGAATATTTTGTATGTTGCAGATGCGGATATGGAGGATTATGGATTCGAGTATTCGGACGAGGAGCAGGAAGAACAAGATGTTGATATAGAGAATCAGTACTACAATTCCAAAGGTTTTTTAACTTTTAATTTTGAGAATTTTTGAATGTTTGTAAATAGGTAATGTATTTGAGCTCGTGTTTGGCCATAGATTTTGGATATTCGAGTTCCGCACCCTAGGTCACATATCAGGTTCAAAGTCCATTAGAGACAAACACTCGGGGCGGAGCCAGCCTTCTGTTAGGGGATTCGGCGGAAAATATTACTACTTATGTATGGTTAAAATTATTATTTATATATATATATATATTAGATGTTGAACTCTCTTCGGTTAGTTCGTGTGTTTAGTTGTTCAGATTTTGAACCCCATATTAAAAATCCTAGCTCCGTCACTGCAAACTGCAAACACTAGGTGATTTTTTCCTATTTGTTCTAGCTTTAGTGGATAGGAGTACCTGTTGTTGGTGGGAGGTGCCAGAATTTTGTGGAATTAGTCCAGCTGTGCGCAAGCTGGCTCAGACACAATGTTATGAAAATAAAATAGTTCAAGTTTCAAAAACTGGTCAGACCATTTTTGGGAGAAATTTCACTTTTGATTCACAAAAATTCAATTTTTTTCCAAGTAAAATGCTTGTCTAAACGCAATTTCAAGTTCCAAAAATCAGAAGCTTCAAAAACTCAAAATTTCAAGTTTCGAGTTTAAACTTCAAAATCTATGGCCAAACGGGAGCTGAGAATTCTTGGTGATTTTCACTATATCATTCTGCATTCTGAGGTTAGGTTCAGGTTTTTGTTTCCTTTGTTCAAGTTGTGCATCTTCTTGTAAGTTTTAGTATTGTTACCTAGAGATGTTCTTTCTATTTGTATTGATCCAGTTGTGTTTCACTATAGCTACCTCTCTTTATGAATATATATCATCAAAGGGAGTAATATTCTGCAATGATGTCATGCATAGGTATGGTCGAAACTGATCCCAAAGGAGCACTTGAGGGTTTTGCTGAAGTAGTACATATGGAACCTGAGAAGGCAGAGTGGTAAGGAGTTGAAACTTGAAAGTGTTTATTTGCAGTCTTCAATAGTGCTTTTATAAAAGCTTACTGCTTGTGTAGCTTTTGTGACTATTAATATGACCTGAAAGTTAAAATCATTTACCTCGGTTAACAAAAAGAGTTCAGAATCAATTAGTAGGCCTCTTTTTTTTAAGGTTTAAAAGCTCGTTGGATACTGGACTTTCCCTCTATCTTTCTTCACTTAGATACCAAGCTTGCTTCTCATCAGCTAGTAAAACTAAATTCGTGACGTGTACCTATAACATAAACCTCTCTTTCTTCTATCCATTCCCGTTCTCATTTCTTGTGCGTATATGATTGAACAAATTTCAAATCACTAATGAAGATGGAGCTCTTTCGTTTATTTTTAACTCGGATTTTTTCATCTTCTGGCATGTGGTTTTCTATCCTCTTCTCTGAATTGGAATTGCAAATTTGTTTATTACATCCCTTATCCAAAAATTTTAGTTATAGTTTAAGTTTGTAATGTGAAAAAGACGTAAGCCTCTTATCCAGGTCTCATGCTTAATGCTTTCAACTAATGAGTTTCCTAAAGCTTTTAAGAATTTTAGAGCTACAATTTGCTATTGTGTTGCTTTTATCTACTATATCATTATCGCCAGGGGATTTAAAGCTTTAAAGCAAACTGTTAAGCTTTACTATAAGCTAGGGAAGTTCAAGGAAATGATGGATTCTTATAGAGAAATGCTTACCTACATAAAATCAGCAGTGACACGGAACTATAGTGAGAAGTGTATAAATGGTATCATGGATTTTGTTTCTGGATCAGCTAGTCAGAACTTCGGCCTTCTGCAAGAGTTCTACCAGACAACACTGAAAGCCCTTGAAGAGGCTAAGAATGAGGTTAGGCTGTATAACTTTTGAGGCATTCAGGAGTCTGTTTGTAAGTTTCTCTCTAAGTTCATGTGTCTTTTCGTTAAGGTCTCACGATCCCCTATTTCTTTCACAGAGGTTGTGGTTCAAGACGAATCTAAAGCTTTGCAAGATTTGGTTTGACATGGGGGAATATGGACGAATGAGCAAGGTATCTTGCTTGCTCATTAGAAGCATCTATAGCTATTATTTTGCTATGGTTTTAATGAACATAACTTGACAACTTTGTTAGATTTTGAAAGAGCTCCACAAATCTTGTAAAAAAGAAGATGGCACTGATGATGAGAAGAAAGGGACACAATTGTTGGAGGTATATGCAATTGAGATTCAAATGTATACAGAGACAAAAAACAACAAAAAACTGAAGGTATATTAATACCTTTTCTTCCCATTTACTTGATGATACACTCTTTTGAGCAGAGTTGCTTGTCATTTCCTTCATTTTGGCCTTTTTTTTGCATTCAGATGCTAATTCCGTTACTTCTCTGTCTAAGTTTCTTCTTGGTTTTTGTTGTCTCTTTTATTCCTAAAGCATGCTATTTCTAGATTTGGAAACAGAAGCACCACTCAAAAGATAATAGTACATTCCAAAGGTTGTGAATAGTGATTGAGACTCTTTGTAACACATCATTTGCTTTGATTTTTCCAATCTTTTCCTGAAAATAGTGAGAATCTATTAAATTCCTCCAATTTTGTTTCCCTAGACGTAGGCATGCTCTAGGGAAGACCTAAACTTTTAGATTTTTTATCTTTCAATTCAAGTTCAAAAACAAGCATGCATAGGTTGAAGTGAAACCTAAACTTTCTGTCCAGTAAGTATTGCACCAAAAGAAAACAAAAATTAGCCACTTTAAATGTTGTCCAAAGATTGCTATTTGGCTTTTCCACTTGGCAAAATAACATTGCAAACTACTCACCTTTTATATAATATATATATTGTCCAAAGCTACATGAGCCCAAAAGTGTGGGTTTCTGAAGGACTCTAAGCGACATTATGAGAGCATCATATATGTGTTGAAATCCAGGAACTTTTGGAATCTCTCTCTCTCCCTCTCTTTCTTTCTCTGTCTCTATCTCTCTATACTTGCAGAGAGAGACACTTAAATGATTTGTTTTTATTACATGCAGAGTATATATTTGTATGTTGATCAGAATTCTTAAACTTTCTGATATTTATTCTTGCATTAATATATAGAGAACATGTATTCCGTAGTATTACATCTCAACGGTATACTTGGTGTTAGAACTTGCTTGGCATGTCATTTAAGCTATGTTGCTCGGATCCTCCGAAATGCTGCCGCACTGATATTGGATCCTCCACGATCTGATACACTCCTGTTGTTTTCTTTTTGGAGGTTCTAGGCAGCATAGCGTGAAGTGATAAGTTGTTTTTCTCAATACCTAATTCATGAAAAATATGAGTGATTCAGGAACTGTACAACAAAGCACTTTCAGTCAAGTCGGCTATTCCTCATCCAAGAATAATGGGAATCATTCGTGAATGCGGAGGTAAAATGCATATGGCAGAGAGAAAGTGGGCAGAGGCAGCTACAGACTTCTTTGAAGCTTTCAAGAACTATGATGAAGCTGGGAATCATAGGCGTATCCAGTGCCTGAAGTATGTGTGCAGTTCATCATGTGTGTGCATCATATGCATTGGTTGTGTGTGCATTTATTTGTTTCTCTTGGCATTTCCACTTTCTTCTTGCGAAGGATACAAGCAGTTTTTAACTGACCATTAACTATGTATTCAAGCTAGGGATGGCAACGGGGCGGGTTATAGTGTTTGTGGGGCACTGTGGGTTAGAGCTTTTGAGGAGGCGGGGCGGGTACGTGGGTTGGGTTTTTTTCTTTTGAAACTTAAATTAAAGGGTAAATGTGTTAAGAATTTCTATACGTAATTGGAATAGGAAAAACCCTTTGAATATATCAAAATTATTCTGGGAAACAGGGGTGGGGTGGGGGTGGGCGGGAAGTGAAACACAGTCTTGTTCAAAGTAAGTTATTGGTTTCCTTAGAGGAGTCAACTGTTTTAACGCGTGCCATATCATTAACTCATACATAATTATTAATTTCACTCCTCTCTAGTTCAACAAACTTTAATGACTCTTGTATAATTAATACACAAATAATCAAATCTATGTATAAAAGGAAAGGCAAAGATGGAAGAGGACTTAAAGCGCGGATCAGTTAATGAACTATATATATTCTACAACTTGGCTTTCAAATGAAGATAATATATATATATATATATATATATATATATATATATATATATATTGGTAACTGGTACATTTCTTTTAATTAAAATAATTAGTAAATTATGCGAGGTGGGTTCATGCAGAGCAGGCCGTAGTCTTTGCGGGCTTATGCTGGTTTGCCCCGCCCCCACCCATTTGCCATCCCTAGACTTCAAGCTTCCCAGACTGTAGTTCGTTACTTAATCACTAACAGTTAACTTTATAATGTGCTAGAGCCCTAACCTGGAGTTTATGGCCTTGTAAACTGAATGTTCTATAAACTTTTATCATTGTTGTTGAACCATTTTCTCACATTTCTTGCACTATGTTTGGTGCAACAAATGGAAGAGGAGTGCATTAGCAAAGGGGAAGTCACTGATCTTACTTTTACTATGTGATGTTTTAACATTGACCTCTTATAGTTTGCTTAACATGAGACAATAAACGACTACTAAGCCTCAATCCCAAGCTAGTTGGGGTTGACCCTATGAATCGTCACTATCCGTTTTGCTCCAATTAGACCCATCTTTTTCGAACATCAAAAATTTTGTTCTCTAACCTTAAAAGTTCTCCACATTTCTACTGACATACTAATTTCCCTACAATAGTATATTTACTCCTTGAAAATATTGGACTAATGGAAGTGTTAACAAGACTAAGCATTCATCTCAGCTTGTGCTCTTTCCTATATGGATCTTTTCTCTTCCATTGTTCTCTTTTTGACACAATGAGGAAAATTTGCTTCCTCCTTCCCCTTCAAATTTGGGAGGGTTGCATATTTCTCGACTTTTACCTTTTTATTTTCTAATCAAGTGAAGGAAACAGTTTTCACCACTCACTTTTTTTTAGCTACCATATTTATGATCAAGCCAACCAAAAGAGTGTCAAATGTTTCCATCATGTTGCTCCTCAAGCTTGTAGTTTCTTATCCTGAAGTGGCAGTGTACCTCATGTACCTCTTGATGTTGGTTTTGTGAAATATGTTGCAGTTCGCTCAGAGGATATGTATGTGATCTAAACAGGGTGTTGTAGACTTGCAGTACATCTGGGGATATGAACATCTCTGCACGAAATTGAACTATGCCTTCATTAGGGCGTGAAATTGAGGATCATAACTATTTAATGATGCCTCAATCAATCTCAAAATCTTATATATAAAGACAGTTATTAGATAGTACATTAGAAGTAGATTTTAAGGAAGTTCATTATGAACTCAGAGCAAACATGTTAACACGCACAACACTTTTAGATAGTACTTTAGTATAGAATTTAAGGAAGTTCATTAATGAATTCAATGCAAACACACACAATACTTTTACATAGTACTTTAGAAGTAGAATTTAAGGAAGTTCGTTAATGAATTCAATGCAAATATGCAAACACATACAACACTTAAGTTTATGTCAGGATGCATCTGTCCACTACTTGGAGAAAATTGGCATACTGTTCTCTCAAGTACCAATGTCTGGTATTTTCTTTAGTGTGCCTTTCATGGTTGAATAAGGACTGAATAGAACTATGATGAAATTAAGAAATGCGTACTAGCATTATTGGCTTCATAAATTGGAGCTCATGAAGATGAGGGTGGCAGATTTTGCGTTCTCATGTAGGCCAGTCCAAGTGTTGAAATTGCCAAACACTTAACTGTGAAGTTAAGAAATGCGTACTAGCATTATTGGCTTCATAAATTGGAGCTCATGAAGATGAGGGTGGCAGATTTTGCGTTCTCATGTAGGCCAGTCCAAGTGTTGAAGTTGCCAAACACTTAACTGTGAAGTTATTTTTGTGGAGAGGAGGTGCTGTTTAATCTGGTGTGAAACAGAATGCTGTTACTTTCCCTATTAGATCTTTTCAAAAAGGTTTCTTGGTAGACTTTTAGGTTTTTGGAGCGTTATTTTAATTTGAAGGCTCCTCAACGAGATGCCGTTTCCTTGTTCAGCCCGTGTATGCTCCACTTGTTATGTGGTATGTGAAATAATCAATGTGGCGGTGTGCTTCTGGTCACTAACAGCATATTTCTGCACCCTTTTTAGTGGTTTGTTCCATCTCTTACACTTCAAATCCATTTCTTGATGTATCTTAACATGTGTTCTCACTACATTTTTGCTGAATGGATGCATGCTTTGCACAGTTGGAAACTTAGAGTTTTGTTACTTGCATGTAAATAAAGGTTTAAGTCGTTCCATATCAATTTCTGTGATTTGGTACTAGGTGATTGTTTCGAGCATTCACCTTCTACCAGAAGATTACAATATGTGAATCCCAATGCTATCTTTACCCTTGCAAACCTCTGCTTTCCTAATGTTGCACTATGTTTGGTTCCTTTTAACTTTTAACAGGTACTTGGTCCTGGCAAATATGCTGATGGAGTCTGAAGTTAACCCTTTTGATGGCCAAGAAGCTAAACCGTAAGTATAGTAAGAAGTTTTTGTTTGCAAGATTCAAAATCAGCAACTTGTCATTCTTATATGACTTGACTTCAGCTGCATTGTGTCTGTGCATGACTGTTTATACTTTTCAGTTACAAAAATGACCCTGAGATCTTGGCCATGACAAACCTTATCGCAGCATATCAACGAAATGAGATCTTAGAGTTCGAGAAAATTATTAAGGTACAGTCATTCTGTAAACTTCAATATTTTGCCTGTTGATCCTACAGTCTGTAGTTGGTCTCTTCTTTGATCATTTTGAATGTGCTTTTCTCGAAATTTTAACAGAGTAATAGACGGACAATAATGGATGACCCTTTCATTCGGAATTACATTGAAGATCTTTTAAGGAAGGTCAGAACACAGGTTTTACTGAAGCTCATCAAGCCTTACACAAGAATCCGGATTCCCTTCATATCCAAGGTGATAACTCAGTCTTCTTTTCTTCCTTTTTCCCTTTCTTAATTTTTCTGTGATGACCGTTGTCTCTGTCTATCCATTCTCTGCTTTATCCATCGCCTCTTCATTTTTCTTAATTCTGTTTTGAGGGGCGGAGTGTGAGTGGATCAAATTCTATCAGTTGGCTTTGTTTTAATGGCGTAAATATTGTATAAGAGAACGTGTTCATACTTGGAAGATACATACATACTCATCGCTACTGATCTCCCCGAGGGTGAATGTAGCTACCACTCACTGTTTATCACAAAATTCTGTTAACTAACCTCCTAAATGCAATGCACTTCCGAGTTAGTTTTCTCATATCACTCGACGTACAGGAGCTGAATGTGCCAGAAAAAGATGTTGAGGACTTGTTGGTCTCACTAATCTTGGATAACCGGATTGATGGCCACATTGATCAAGTGAACGGGCTGCTAGAGTGTCGCGACAGGTCAGTTTCATAACCCCTCAACGTACCATTGCTAATTTGCTTAACGCTACACTAACTTGTTTTACATGACGCGTTTTTGCACACAGATCAAAAGGGATGAAGAAGTACACTGCCATTGATAAATGGAACACACAGCTAAGGTCTCTCTACCAAACTGTTGGCAACAAAGTATGTTGAGGTTTATATAAACCTATACTCATAAGTCATACCCAGTTTTGTTTCATTAATTTTAGTTTATATATTTGTTGTTTGTAGTAATTTTGATTTTTATTTCTAAGAATGAACTTAAATTTGTTTGAAAAAAGTTTGAAGGTGACTTGTTACTCTTGTTAACTTCATGTACAATTACTCTTGTTATTAAATAGTAATGACTTATAATTAATAGAGGTGATAATAGTAAATTATTCTTTTATTTGTTAATTATTTTTTAAACTATATGTCGAGTTAAACATAGACGAGTAAAGATAGACAGAGGGAATATATGAATAATATAAAGTATATTCCATCATGTTTGTGGAGTATTAACTTCTTGGGTTTCCTTTTTCTTATTTCTCTTTCACATATTTATTATTATCCTTTTAAGTGAAGTGGTGAGCACATTAACAAAAAGATCAATGAACTCATATATAAGGTCGATAGTGGGATGGATAGGTTTCTTCCACCGTTAATTAAAAGTCGCAAATTTATTTCTTTTATATAGTGTCTTCTTTTCTTTTTTTTGGGGGGGGGGTGGTGGTTAAGGGTTAAAGAGCGATTTCTTTATAAATTTGTGTTACGTGGATGAGTCAAAATTAATCAAGATTTTAATATGAATATTTAATATCAAATACGTAAAAAAGCAGCAACAAACAAACAAAGGAATGAAGCTTCCTTGGTCGCAGCAAATTTTGACAAGCAACTAGTAAGTGGTTCAATCATTGAGGTGACCAAACGTTTATTTTAATATATATATTTCATTCACTTTATAAGATAGTATTGTAAAGATTTTCATATATTATATAAATAGAAAAACAATATAATCTAACATGAATTATACATGATATGATATGCATAAACACACAAAATTAGTAATTTAATCAACGATATACATTTAATTTTTACTTGAAGTCCATTTCTTTTTTCTTTCAAAGTTACTCTGGAGACAACTTCAGACAGTCGCATTTTGAAGTTTCACAACTTCAGATATTCACGTCTGTAGTCCGGCCTTTGAAGGCGAAAGATTAGATAATTTTGCCTAAAATTGGTATGGTTTGCAAAAGTCATGTTCGGACATTTTTTTTAAAATTAAAATTCTAGACTTAACAATAATAATAAGTCTATGTGTGAATGTTAAGTCTCTTATTACATGATTATATTTCATTCCTAACAATTCAAGAAAAATATGTTGTTGAATCTCCTATCAAGTTATCCAACGTTCAAAATACAATTTCAATCTATTTTTATAATGTTATTTGATGAAACATAAAATATACAATATTAATTTAATATATATGATAAATTAATGATAATGAAAACTAATATGAAAATGGTGGTTGAGAAAAGCGCAAATACCATATGGTGTCAAATATTTCAGACGTCACATTATAGAAAAAACGTGACATTAAATTAGAATGGAAGGTGTATAATTTATTTTTATACCAACTTGATTTTAAATATAATTTCCAAATTATATTTATAAAATTTGAATTATTTTGTATTATTAATGAATTATTTATTTATTCATAAGAAAAAAGAATTACTTGATGTTGGTAAATGGAGATGGTCGTTATGTCTTGAACCTCATCATGATATATACTCTCTTCGTCAACTTTATCTTGTTCAATTTAGACAAAAATCAAGAAATAATTTATCACTTAATTTTTAATTTATTTTTACTATTAAATATAGTGACTTCTGAATGCATTTTCCAAAATATTGAATAAATTATATTAAAAAAGTGATACTAATAAAAATATTTATTGTTTATTATTTTCTGAACGAGTGTTACAAATCAATACTAAACAAGTAAACGTGAAGGATCGAAGGAATACTTATTAACAAATGAGAATAGTATTTGATAAATTCCAATAATTATTTTATTGTTGTGTTATCAAACTGCGTTCGATGCTCTAAATAAATAACGTGTCCAATAAAAAAAGGAACTATAAAAAGAGATAATTAAAAAAGTAAAAAAATAAAATAAAATAAAGGTAGGTAAGATTGAGCAACACAAAAAAAATATAATTCATAATAAGTTCCAGAATTTTCATTACCGTTAGAACGGTCATAATCTATAAATATTAATTAAAATCATTAGTCTATGATTTTATTTGGACACGTATATTGTGACTCAAATAATGGTAGGTCATTCTCATGATGAAACTTCATAATAATCCATTTTTAAGTTAATCAATCCATTTTTAGTTTGACAAAAAAAAACATTGAATGAAGAGTTTTATTGTCATTTTTGGCAATTTCTCTACTTAATTAATTTAATATCTTTGCTTGTAATGAAAATAAAATCCTCTCTAATTTATATAAAACATTCTTTTTTAAAATATATATATATATATATATATATATATATATATATATATATATATATATAAAACAGAGAAAAAATATTTTAAACCATATTTTCACAAATATAATTTGTTAGTCATTCTATTTTTAACCAGAATTACTAAACCACAATATGTGTTTAATAAATAAAAATAATTTTTTTTCGAACTCACAAAATTCATAGGTGTCCGTAAATAATTGTGATTAGTGTCGGTAAAATGAGTCCATATTTTGATAACCCATCCAATCCGTCCATATTTTAATGGGTTGGGTGAGTGATTTTTTACATGGATAAAATATGGGTTTTAACTCATAAAAATATGGATATTCATGGGTAAAATTTGGATAAACTATGGGTAAAATATGAATTAGCCAAATGAGTTAAGCTTCTAACTTTTGTTTACTCAAAATTCTTTATGGATATCACTAAAAAATGTTGTAATTTTTCTTCCTTTTTATGTTCTTCAGTAAACCTAATTATTTCTCTCTATAATTGAAAAAGTGAAATCTTTGGCTCTCCAAAGAAATATTTATATTAAATGTACATTTCTTTTGTTAATTACAATTATATTTTTAATTTGTTTAATTTTATATTCGATAACAAATAGTAGTGTAAAGTAAGCAAATTATGTATTAGTATTGATATTGCTTAAAGTGCATTAAGCATGTTTTACTCCTAAAATGTAAATATTTATTTACTTTGAAATTAAAAATATTTTTCATTTGTTATTACATAAATTTATTTTATATTAAAAAGTTATAGGATTTTTTTTTTTACTTTATGATACAATAAAACTAAATAAAGTATTTTCAATATCTTTCATCCAAAAAAGATTAAAATATATTCTCCATGTTGAATTCTGAAGTAGAGTACTATTTACTCATGAAAATATGGATAAACTTGTATTTTACCCAACTCATTTGTTACCCAATCCATTTTAACTCATATGAACTATGAGCGGTTGAATTATTACCCATTTTATGTTGACTCATTTTCAACCCATTCAAATTTGACCGAACCCACTCATTTGCCACCACTAATTTTGATGGATATAATTTGTTCATATATTTTTATGTGCTAAATATTTGGAGGTTTGGAGAGGATGAGTTGTACACAGACCTTATTCTAATTTTGTGGGATAGAAAAGTTATTTTTGATTGATCCTAGGTTCAAAAGAAAAGTTTTCGATGTAAGGTTATAAGAAAATATAACAATGATAAGATACAAAGCAAATGAAGCAACATATATATTACACATTGAACTCATACTCCTAATCACGATAGTTAGCTAACCCTTGCCTCTCTCATATAAAGTGTGACTACATCTAACTACGTGCTAATTACTTTCTACTCTAATCTCCGACTTTCACTTTTTTATTTAGGTTTTCCTCAGTAAGCTAAAATAATATCATGTCCTAAATAATCATCTGCTCCAGTTCTTATTCGACCGATCTATGTTTTTTCTAACTCCTTGTATACCCAACTTCTCACACTTCCTTACTAATGCATCTGTGTCCATCATCTTCACACGCCAGAAACATCTCAATCTCGCTTCCATCATCTTGTCCTCCACAGAGGTCCCTCCCACGATGCCTTATATAAAATCATTCCTAATCATATCTCTCCTAGTAATTGCACACACATTTACATGAACATCCAAAGTCTTATGTGATAAGATATCAATTTGTCATGACTCAAAAGCGGTCATGATAACACGTTCCCCAAATCCAATTCAGTGTGTAAGCCGAAGAATACAACTCAAAATCATCTCAAATATTGTATAAAAAGAAGGTAAAATACACATACAAGACTTTTAGAACAAAGTCAGGCCATAAATGAAGAAAAAATCGAGATACAACAAAGCATTTCCAAAACCTGATGTCATAAGCATTAAAGAGCATCTACTACATAGCTGAAATCTGAAATACATTTCAAGTCTTTGAAGCTAAAGTAAATACCTTAATGATAGATAGAGTCTAATGGCGATTCAGATCCAGCAGATAAAAGATATCACCAAAACTTAAGATAAGTTCTTTAGAAAGGTGGTTAGACTGTGTATGTTGTATGAAATGAAGTGTTGGCCAGTCAAGAACTCTTACTTTCAGAAAATGAAAGTTGCAAAAATGAGGATGCTAAGTTGAATGTGTTGGCATACTAGGAGGAATGATTTTAGATGGGATAAGGTTGGAGTGACCTCGATGGAGGATAAGATACGGAATGTGAGGCTAATATTGTTAGGGCATGTGAAGAAGAGATGCACAGATATCCCAGTACAGAGGTGTGCGAGGTTTGCTATGTATGATTTCATAAAAGGTAGAGGTAAGTCAAACAAGTACGAGGAGAGATGATTAGACATGACATGGTGCAACTTCAGCTTACCATGAAGACATAACCTTAGATATGAGATTATAGAAAATATAAATTAGGGTAAAAGGTTAGTAGATAGTTGAATATTACTTCACTTATTTTTTCATACTAATAGTCGTAGTATTACTCCTATAGTTTCTTGTTTCTTTAGTTTCAATTACTATTTATTTTTTCGAATATATATACTTTGATTATCAAATTGTTTTATTGCAATTATACTATTCCTTTTTTCATAACGTTTTTTCATATATTGCATTCCTTAATTTCTTTCCTCCCGTTAGTTTCTTGAGTCGATCATCTTTTAGAAACAACCTCTCTACCTCCTTAAAATAGGGTAAGATTTACGTAAACACT